TCCTTGATGTTCAGATCTTTCAAGATGTCAGTATTTCTCCTTTTCTTTGTCCAAGATATTCTGAGAATCTTTCTATAGCATTTCAGCTCAAAAGCCCTTATTCTCTTTCTTTCCACGACTCACATCCGTATGTTGCCACAGGGAAGATGCATGCTCTCAAAATTCTAATCTTGATCTTGCTGATACTTAACCATAGACTTTTATGGCTGTTCAATCTTTGCATTGCTATGGCCATTCTCCTTTTAATTTCTACCAAACAGTCTCCGTTGCTATTTATTATAGAGCCTAGATATTCAGTTTTTGACATTTTCAATTTCTTCATCATTTATTGTTATTTTTGGATTATAGCCAGTTTTATCTGTGGACATTATTTTCGTTTTCTTTAAATTCAATAACCGATTTTAATCTTCACTGTGCTTTTGGACAGACAATATTAAATTTTCTATTCCCTTTTCGCTGTTCGAGAGAAGGACAGTCACATTATAGCTGGTGCAAAAGAATTCCTTGTAAATACATTAGAGATTGTCAATCTAATCAGCCTGTATCGAAAGCAGACAAATCTTGCACCAAAATTTACAACAACAAAAAATGCCTGATTACGACCCAGGGTTGGGGTTTAACCTCATTCATCTATACTTATACTGCAGCCTAGATCCAGACTTATTACACAGGCATGCACAGGGGCTGTATCCAGAATAGTTTGACATTTGTAGCAGTGACAAGTTGCAAGTCATAGCTTGACTCCAATATAGCTCTCTTTGTGGGTTCCAGGGCCCTGTACACGTATGCAATTACCACCAGTTGCCTTCTCTGTCACATTTTCTTTACACCTTGTATTCCTCACATTTTCTATGCACCTTGTATTCCTCACATTTTCTTTACACCTTGTATTCCTCACATTTTCTTTACATCTTGTATTCCTCACATTTTCTATACACCTTGTATTCCTCACATTTTCTATGCACCTTGTATTCCTCACATTTTCTATACACCTTGTATTCCTCACATTTTCTATGCACCTTGTATTTCTCACATTTTCTATACACCTCGTATTCCTCACATTTTCTATACACCTCGTATTCCTCACATTTTCTTTACATCTTGTATTCCTCACATTTTCTTTACACCTTGTATTCCTCACATTTTCTTTACACCTTGTATTCCTCACATTTTCTTTACACCTCGTATTCCTCACATTTTCTATACACCTTGTATTCCTCACATTTTCTTTACACCTTGTATTCCTCACATTTTCTACGCACCTTGTATTCCTCACATTTTCTATACACCTTGTATTCCTCACATTTTCTATACACCTTGTATTCCTCACATTTTCTTTACACCTTGTATTCCTCACATTTTCTACGCACCTTGTATTCCTCACATTTTCTATACACCTTGTATTCCTCACATTTTCTATACACCTTGTATTCCTCACATTTTCTATACACCTTGTATTCCTCACATTTTCTATACACCTTGTATTCCTCACATTTTCTTTACACCTTGTATTCCTCACATTTTCTTTACACCTTGTATTCCTCACATTTTCTTTACACCTTGTATTCCTCACATTTTCTATACACCTTGTATTCCTCACATTTTTAAGTGACACATACAGTTAAAAGAAGTTGTAGCATCAATATGTTTTCACTGTTGCATTATATAGTTGAATTATATATATAGGTACTTCTTATACTACTTCTTATGTTGCATGCTGTGTATTGTTGATCCTCATGTCTTTCCATAACCTTCTGCCTCATGTACTGAGTCATTTCTTACACAGATGTTCTACCATGCCAGGAGGTCAACTTGTTCCACATCCTCTCCCTTGATCTTATCCTGTGCCATGATGTCACATTGTTCCACATCCTCTCCCTTGATCTTATCCTGTGCCATGATGTCACATTGTTCCACATCCTCTCCCTTGATCTTATCCTGTGCCATGATGTCACATTGTTCCACATCTCCTGTGCTATGATGTCACATTGTTTCACATCCTCTCCCTTGATCTTACCTGTGCTATGATGTCACATTGTTCCACATCTCCTGTGCTATGATGTCACATTGTTCCACATCCTCTCCCTTGATCTTATCCTGTGCCATGATGTCACATTGTTCCACATCCTCTCCCTTGATCTTATCCTGTGCCATGATGTCACATTGTTCCACATCCTCTCCCTTGATCTTACCTGTGCTATGATGTCACATTGTTCCACATCCTCTCCCTTGATCTTACCTGTGCTATGATGTCACATTGTTCCACATCCTCTCCCTTGATCTTATCCTGTGCCATGATGTCACATTGTTCCACATCCTCTCCCTTGATCTTATCCTGTGCTATGATGTCACATTGTTCCACATCCTCTCCCTTGATCTTAACTGTGCTATGATGTCACATTGTTCCACATCCTCTCCCTTAATCTTACCTGTGCCATGATGTCAGATTGTTCCACTTCTTCTATGCCATGATATCACGTTGTTCCACACTTTCTTCTATCCCATGATATCACGCTGTTCCACATTTTCTTCTATCACATCCATTGCATATGTTTTAATTTTTTTTTTTTAACTTTCAGTAGGCAACAATTTACAAGTGGAGCAAGAGTTAACGCCAGATGACGTTAAATATTTCGAGAAGCCTTTCACTTGTGGTGAGTGCCTGTGGCATAACCACTTACATACAGACTTGTTAAGCAGATAAACACAGAAGTCATTAGTAAACATTCTGTATGAACATTTTCACTGCCTGGTACCCTGCACAAAAGCTGCTAATGAGAACAGATTATGCTTAACATCATACCAGTCCAGTGTATCATCTTTCAGATGTGATCCCTGTCTGTCTTCTAAAATATTATCATAGATGTCAGAGTAAAGATCTCATTTTCACACCTTTATGCACAATGGACATATGATGCTAGTCTGTTTTTATATCCAGTCAGTTTTCAGTGAGAGGTGTGATCAGTATCATATTGGTGGCTGCCTTTAATTGTTGCTGTTTGTCCATCAGAGGGGATAAGGACCACTCTTTCTTATATCTATCATGGAATTATAGATGCCATTACAGGTACCCATTTTAGGTTGTGTCAGTTTTAAAATTCTACCTGAAGTGAATTAAAATAAGCTAGCTGTCTCATAAAATAAGCAGAGAGCTAAACTACTCCTGCAGACAGTGGAGGCGTGATTCTTTTTTCTTCTAGAAAAACGCAAAGAGTATCATGTAATGACACAACAATAAAGGAAACAGACCTCCTGGGGACAGTGGAGGCGTGATTCTGTTTTCTTCTAGAAAAACACAAAGAGTATCATGTAATGACAGAACAATAAAGGAAACAGACCTCCTGGGGACAGATGAAAACCATTTTTAAAAAGCTTGTGCCGTCTCCACGATGAGTTCTGGCTACAGTGCACCTGTTACTGTCTTTGGGAGTATTATGTGGTGAGAGTCCCGTCTCATGCATAGTTTAACTCTCATGCTAATGTCTAAAAACCATGAGAATTATGTGTTTTAAAAAACATACTGTTACACTGTAATTTGATTAAAGAACTTTGACCAAGTCAGTCAGTAATTTTTTTTTTTTCTAATATGTTATGAGTTGGAATGGACTCCCAAACTTGGTGGCGTCTGGAAAGATTGATGGCAACAAAAGCAAAAGGGGATACATACCTGGATGGCTTGGCCATGTGGATTAGGCAGAAGAAGAGCCAGGGAAGACATGGCTTTGTTGGCCAGCTGGGTGGAGCAAAACAAGAGCAAGAGGAGATCATACCTGGATGGCTTGGTCATGTGGATGGAGCAAGAGGAGATCATACCTGGATGACTTGGTCATGTGGATGAAGCAAGGGGAGATCATACCTGGATGACTTGGTCATGTGGATGGAGCAAGGGGAGATAATACCTGGATGACTTGGTCATGTGGATGGAGCAAGGGGAGATAATACCCGGATGACTTGGTCATGTGGATGGAGCTAAACCAAGAGCAAGGGGAGATAATACCAGGTTGGGGGTCATGTGGATGGATCAAGGGGAGATAATACCTGGATGGCTTGGTCATGTGGATGGAGCTAAACCAAGAGCAAGGGGAGATAATACCTGGATGGCTTGGTCATATGGTTGGAGCTAACCAAGAGCAAGGGGCGATAGTACCAGGTTGGCGTCATGTGGATGGAGCAGGAGCAAAGGGAGACAATACCTGTATGGCTTGACCATGTGGATGGAGCAAAACAAGATCAAGGAGAGATACATACCTGGATAGCTTAACAGTGTAGATGGAGCAAATGGTCATATGGATGGGGCAGAAACAAGATCAAGGAGAGATACATACCTGGATAGCTTTGTCATGTGGATGGAGCAAATGGTCATATGGATGGAGCAGAAACAAGAGCAAGGAGAGATACATACCTGGATAGCTTTGTCATGTGGATGGAGCAAAACAAGAGCAATGGGAGATGATATCTGGATAACTTGACCATGTGGATGGAGCAAAAAATAAGAACATTTGAAGATGAAACCTGGACGGCTTGAAAATATGAAATGAGCAAAGTAAGAGCAAGGAGAGATAAAAGTGATAGCTTGACCTCCGTATGATATGGGTTTAGGTTCTCACGTGAGATGACGAAACATGATCACCCATGCTTACCAGGGCACATTGAGGCATATTGGGCATTTAGTACTAGACCTGTATTGTATAGACCAGTGGGCACTTGCCAGGACTTTCCCTGGGAGCCAAGGTCAAAAAGACAAGTTCTGCTCCATTTGGATTTGAATCCTTGACCTTGAGATTTGCAGGTGAGTTTCTAGCCACTGACTCATGGTGGCTTCCATCTGATCTAGTAAACAAATCTATATTCTCACTGCATTCTTTGTTTGAGTGAAAATAATGTCAACATTTGCAAGAAGTATTTTTTTTTTTTTTTCGAGGATTAGCAGTTACAAAATGGGTGATGATGATGTACTTTTGTGTTGTACAGTGATATTTATGACATCAAACTGGTTGCAGGTTGGAGGAGAGAACTTGTCTATCGAAATGCTACAGCGCTAAAAAGTTCCAACCCTGGCTGTGATGTGTATTACTTTCCTCCAAGTGGCAAGAAGCTGGTAAATATATTCACATTGATTGACCTCTTGTCGTTGTTACTGTGTGGTGCTTGTATGTCCCCACAACCTTCTATCTCATGTACCACCAACAGTTTTTGGTACAGATGGTCCTCCCTGTGGTGATATACCACATTTTAACATTCTTTCTTTGGGTTCTAACAATATTTTGCTAGGTCTTGTCTTCAGTTCAAGATTCTTCCCCCCCCCCCCCCCCCCCCCCCCCAAAAAAAAAAAAATCTATTACAGATATATATGAATTACGGCGAAGAGCACAGACAGAAACAAAACAGACATAAAGTGACATCTATATGGTCAAGAGATTTGCCCTGAGATATTTACTTTATTTTTCTACCACCCTATAAGAAAACATGTGGGCAAAAGCATTGAAAAACACGACTGTGTGCAGACAGAAATGCTTTGAGTAAGCAAGAGACAAACATAAGCTGGAGACAGACATGGTAGTATAACTACTGTTTGACTCCTATGCACTTGTTATTGTGCAGCAATCTTTAAAAAAAATACAAGAGACAAACGTCTGTGGCATTGCCGCTGTATTCATGGGCAGAATGTGCATTCAGGTTGATGAGAAGCAGTAGTTAAACAAAGAACTTTCTCTTGAAGACTCCCTCCAGTCTCAGATATCGCTAGTGCAAATGTAGCTAAATAGTCACACTGTGGGGATGAAAGACAAAGGTAACAACTGAGAGAGAGTTGTATAACCTTTATCATTGTTGGTTTGTTGCCATGCATGGATCCATGGTAGTATTGCACTGACTGAGATGTCTCACTTTCCATATTCTGTGTTATGAGTGTACAAAAGTTAACTCTTTCTTACTAGACAACTGATAAATTAGCTGTAAAGTAAAATCATTGTATTGTGAGTTACCTGATAGTGAAAGAGTTACGAAGCTAAGGGACATTCAGTATGTCTACCTGTTTCGTTTCAAGGACTCCATTTTTGGACAGCAAAGAATAGACCCATTGTCTTCCCTGACAAGCGTGTTGTAGGATGTGACCAATTGGGGATGTTTCCTTTAAAGCTGGAGGACATCTGCCTCCTGAAAGGCAAGGACACAACAGTCTGCATACATATAAGCCAGATTTGTAAAACAGATGTGCACATAAAACTAAAGTTCCCGAACAAGATCAAAGTCCAAGAGTGGGTAAACAATGAGAGTGTACTGCCGCAGATTACAGCCAATGAATGCTAAACATGAGATTCCGTCTTTCATGTCTCCAGCCCATGATCACTTCAGTTCTGGTTCCAAAAAAGGATTACACCACAGGCTTTGCATGAGTTAACTTTGAATCAATGCAAACATTTTCGTCATTGGTTGTTTTATCAAACCCAGCAGTACAGATGTGATGTGGTTTCTGACATACATTTTAGTGCCTCAGAAATCTCAGTCGCATGTGTTATTTATATTTAGTCGGCTAGGTCGCAGGACACGAATCTACGTTAGCTAAGAATTGTCTGTGCTCCTGTAGGTTCCCAGGTGGAAAATAATATTCCAAGGTTCAGCATGTTTTTCTGCCGATGTGGAGCTCAAGTACTGGTGCTGCACACTCTTACTGGCTTCCTGCTCTTAGTGTCAGGACGTTGAGGTCTTTAGCACAGCCCTATGAGTTGGTACTTTGATAGTGGGTTAGGGGAACAGTCTCTATAGATGTCTCAGACCAAAAGATGAAAGCTCAGTCAACCTGACCATCAACATAGCAGACTCAGTCAACCTGACCATCAACATAGCAGACTCAGTCAACCTGACCATCAACATAGCAGACTCAGTCAACCTGATCATCAACATAGCAGACTCAGTCAACCTGACCATCAACATAGCAGACTCAGTCAACCTGACCATCAACATAGCAGACTCAGTCAACCTGATCATCAACATAGCAGACTCAGTCAACCTGACCATCAACATAGCATCAATCAACATTACAGCACTCAGGACATTCCTATTAGCGCTCTGTCCCTATGTTCAGCAGCAAGTGCAGAGTTGCAATTCCAATGATACCAGTAACTGTCTGATTGTACCATCTTTGTCATGCCTTTTCCTCAAGTGTTCATCAGAAAGAGTCTCCGGTCACTCCTGACAGCACCATTCTTCTCCGAGCGTGATAGTCCAAGTGTGCCTCCTCACTTTTCACCTCACCTCATAGAGGACCCTTACAACATCCAGCCTGTCCTGCATCAGCTCACCACCAAGTCTATCTGCCTATTTGTTTCCTAATACACCCGCATACCTGGAGAAAATATCCAAAAAACACTAACTACTCAAGATTTAGAATGTAAGTCTTTTGTGCAGTCGAAACAGTGAATGGAGCTGGGATTTGAACTCTGGACTGCTGTGTTTTGTAGACTAGTGCATTACCCATTATGGTTTCTATGGCATAGATCTATGTGCATGCACAGATTTGGGTATATGTGGGTAAGAGATGCTAACTGTGCAAGTTTGTCTAATGGTTTCATCCTTTCTGTTTTCTTCCAGCGATCAATGGTTGAGATTTCTAATTATTGTAAGTAAATGAATACATTATACTGTGTGTTGCTGGTATCTGTTTGTTTGTAGTAGATGTAGTCGTTCTAAGTTCTAATCTTCTGCTACTATCTCCTGTTGGAGCTTCAGTTCTCTGCCAACACATATTTGAGTGATTTGTCTATTTCTGTCTCCTTCAGCTCCCTCCCTCTCTCTCTCTCTCTCTCTCTCTCTCTCTCTCTCTCTCTCTCTCTCTCTCTCTCTCTCACTCTCTCTCTCACTCTCTATCCTTTCAGCTGTTTATCTATATTTATACTTATCTTCTTTATACATTAGGTCTCTTTGTATTTATTTTACATGTGAATTCGGTTGAAGGGACTTCTTACTTTTCCCCTGGTAGTTTCATCATGCTTTCTCAATATGTGTTCCAGCTACCATCTTTTTCTCACCTTAATTTACTAAAATCTATCTCGTTTTCTCCTTAAGCTCTACAGAAGTGATTCTTTTAATACCATTTTTTTGGTAAGTGCTAAGAATGACTTTAAAAAAAAGTAATAGTTTTTAAAATATTTATTTGATGTTCTGGTCGTTGTTTCTTTGTGAAGCGTAGCATTGTGTTCAATGTGCATTAGGCCATAAATTTGATATGAGTTCTCCTAAAAGATGAATGCCACATGTATAATTCCAAGCTTGCACATGCCTTTGTTGTCTTCACTTTTGTGATCCTCCCGGCTAGTGCCCAGTTGGGTTACTGATTATTCTATTCATAGATGCATGCAGTTTGTAATATGTGTTTCTCTGTACAGCAACAACAGTAGATTGTCCAATTTTACATCATGTCGTGGACAGATATTGGCAGATTTACGAGTAAACGAGGTTAGGAGACCATGTTCATGCTGTAGTTGTATCAGGCTTAGGATGCTAGATGCCTATTTTTATAGACCAGTCAGCAGTCGAATGGTTGTATGTGTTAAACATCACCGGTGACCTTTGCTTCCTGGATCATTTCCCTGACAGCCAGTTTCAGCTTGGTTGACCTGGCAGCCGAGTTAAGTTATTTGATGCTGATTGGAACCTAAAACCGTTCAGAGCAGCGGGTGAGGTTTTAGCCACTTTTCTACCACAGCGCCCAAGTCAACCCATGAAGTGATACATACATCATCACGATGTTGCAGATTCTTTACAGAACGTCACTTATCACAGAAAGTGATACATACATCATCAACATAATGTTGCAGATCCTTCACAGAACATCACTTATCATGGCAAGTAATACATACATGAACAATGGAGTTCCTGTGTGCATGAAATCCTCTAACAGTTAGACATTTTAAAACCAGTGTATTAGTAAAAGCAGCTGCTGGGAGACTCTTCCAGGCTATAAACTGAGGGTTTCTTAGCAAAAGAGAAATTGGCAAGAGGGCGAAAATGGCTGTTTACCGCTCTACCTATGTGCCAGTTCTGACCTATGGGTGTGAGTCATGGGCAATGACAAAAGCTTACAGAAGCCAGCTGCAGGCCTTGGAAATGAGATATCTGAGAAAGATGGTCCAAGTGACAAGAAGGGACAAAGTTTGCAATCAGACAATACGTCAAGATCTTGATACCCAGTCCTTACAAACCCGAGTGGATCAGTCACAGTTACGATGGTTTGGACATGTATGCAGAATGGGAGAAGATTGGCCACCATGGCAGGCATGGGAGGCTAAGAACCAGGGAACCACACCTCCAGGGTCCGCTGGGAAGACAACATCCGACAGTCCCTGACTGACAGAGGACTGGAATGGAACAAAGCCAGAAAGAAAACTGCTGATAGAGACGTCTGGCGATCTCTCTGGCAAACCTCTACACCCTAAGGTAGAAGTGGAGCAACTAAGTAAGTAAGTATTAGTTAAAAAAAAAAAAAATTTTTTTTACTACCTCGCCAAAAATATTCATAGTATGTGGCTAGGCCTTAGAACCACTATATCATTTTGTTAGTTTTTCTTATAATCATGTTATGTTACTGTAAGATTCTATGTTATGTTACTGTAAGATTCTAGTATGCTCACTGTCTTTTCTTTTCATATTTCAGTAAATATCCATAATAGCTCTGAGCTAAATCTAAGCCACTTCACATTTAAGCGTCTGCCACTGTTCGAGCCACCGTATGAAACTGTTCGCTCTGCTGGAAAAGTGCTGAACAAATCAGAGCAAGGTGCCGCTGGGCAAACCAGTCTAAAGAAGTTGAATAGACCTGCTGTTCGCTTTAAAAAGATTGGCAACCATGGAAAGAAATCTGACCCACAAGTGAAAGTTACAGCAAAGAAACTCGCTTCTTCAGAATTAGTAAAGCAACTTGCCACAGCTGTTGAAAGCTCACCGACGCATGACAAGGAAACCACTGTAAAGGTAGCGCCTCCACTCAAAACTGTAAATGGTTCAGAGTTGCAGATGGCACCACCTGTAAGAAATACTGCAGTGAGAGAGCCAGTCATTCAACTAGTGACAGCTGCACAATCACACACCATTACGAAACCTGGTGCTAAGAGAAAACGACCAGAATCGCCAGATTGGACACCTAAATCTCAAGGATATTTCGCTATGAAAAAAGAAGATTGGAAGAAAGTTAAAAATACTTTGGCCAAGACCTCAGATAGTGATGATGATGGTGGTGGTGGTGGTGATAAAGATGATGATGAGGATGATGATGATGATTGTAGTCTGCAGAATATGTTAGGGACACCTTCCAAACTTATTGCCTCAATTGTGAGACCTGAGTCATCTAATGCTGCAACAAACTGGAGAGGAAACTGTACTACGGTTTCTCAGAATTACATGTTGAACACCCCAAGCTCTGCCAGATCTTTGATTAATTGGTGAGCATTTCTGTTGGCATCTAGATACAAGTTTTGACTATGGCATGATAGTTAACCTGCAGACTTAACAGAACCGCGTGTTTTTTTAATATGTGTGTTAAGTCATCAGGTTGGGTGTTTCAGTACACTTCCTTTCTAAAACGGTTAAACTTAATTAGCCTTTTAGCAGTTCTCTGTTTAGATAAACATGCAAGAAGTAGGAAATAATTAGTAATTCTATGTTTTTATAAACATGTGTAAAATGCTTACTAATTCTCTGTTATATAAACATGCAAGAAATACTTAGTCATTTTCTGTTTATGTAAATGTGCATATTAATTCTCTGTTTTTGTAAATACACATGGGATGCTGCAGTAATTCTCTGTCTGATGTATATATACATGAGATACTGCAGTAATTCTCTGTCTGATGTATATATACATGAGATACTGCAGTAATTCTCTGTCTGATGTATATACATACATGAGATACTGTAGTAATTCTTTGTTGATGTATATACATACATGAGATACTGTAGTAATTCTTTGTTGATGTATATACATACATGAGATACTGTAGTAATTCTCTGTCTGATGTATATATACATGAGATACTGTAGTAATTCTCTGTCTGATGTATATATACATGAGATACTGCAGTAATTCTCTGTCTGATGTATATATACATGAGATACTGCAGTAATTCTCTGTCTGATGTATATATACATGAGATACTGTAGTAATTCTTTGTTGATGTATATACATACATGAGATACTGTAGTAATTCTCTGTCTGATGTATATATACATGAGATACTGTAGTAATTCTCTGTCTGATGTATATATACATGAGATACTGTAGTAATTCTCTGTCTGATGTATATATACATGAGATACTGTAGTAATTCTCTGTCTGATGTATATATACATGAGATACTGCAGTAATTCTCTGTCTGATGTATATATACATGATACATTAATTCTTTGTTGATGTATAATATATACATAAGATACTAAAGTAATTCTCTGTCTGATGTATAAATACATGAGATACTGCAGTAATTCTTTGTTGATGTATATACATGAGATAATGCAGTAATTCTCTGTCTGATGTATATATACATGAGATACTGCAGTAATTCTTTGTTGATGTATAATATATACATAAGATACTGCAGTAATTCTTTGTTGATGTATAAATACATGAGATAATGCAGTAATTCTCTGTCTGATGTATATACATGAGATAATGCAGTAATTCTCTGTCTGATGTATATATACATGAGGTACTGAAGTAATTCTCTGTCTGATGTATATTTACATGAAATACTGCAGTAATTCTATGTTGAGATATATAGATAGATATAGATGAGATACTGCAATAATGATCTATTTGAACTCTAAATCCTGTTCTCTGCAGTGGCAGCCCAGCGACGACTCCATCTTTAAATGACAAAACAGTGTGTTCAGCCAAATATTCTGGTGTTGGTGGCATTTGCTTACAGTGCCGTCAGCACTACCGAATCATGTATGGAAGCCCAGATTCTAAAATTTCACTTAATTCTTTTTGTCTAGTAAGTATGTGCTTGGTACACTTTTTGTTGCTTTTTATGTAAAATGAAGTAATCTTGTCCACACCATGATGTCTATTGTTCATACAATGTTTGACCTATATTGTTAGACCAGTTGGCACTTGGTTGGTGATGTCAGCATCACGCCAGCCACCTTTACTTCCCTGGACTGTGCCTGGTACCCATTAAGGCTGGGTCAACCTGGGAGCCAAGTTGATTGATGTTTGAAAGAAATCAGGCCATATGCTTCTTTTACCCACGACCTTTGTATCTGAATGTTAGTGTCTGGCCGGGTATATTGTTTATTATTTTTATTGTTATCTGTTCTTACATTTCTTATAGGGGATGGATCTTGTGTTGCAGTATTGCCTGTTAACCTCCCAGATTCAATAGGTTAAGCACATTGGCCATGAGTTCTCTTTGGTCTCCTATCTTACTTGACTCTCGGAAACTGACTCTGTTTCTCTCTTAACCACACGTTTCTCAATAAAAGGCATCTGAATTGACGTTCTGGTTAAATCGTTAATTCATCACTCATCATAGGAATGTCATCAATAATACTTACTGAATCTGCTCCCTTAGATAGTAGAATTTCACTTGTTAATACGCACAATAATACAATAAAAAAAATCAGCAAATTCGCTTTATTTTCATCTGCTGCAATGAAACGTGCGCCCCTGTTGCTGGGAGGCGTAAGTCCCTTGTCCACATGCGATCAGGTACCAAAACAAGTGCAGTATAGGGATATTACAATGCCATCAGCCAAGTGTGGTAGAACAGTCAGAGATCAAATCCAATGATGAAACAAGAAGCCTATAACATTAACAATCAACTTCAATGCTTCCAAACGGGGGTTAAATGCTGAAGGCTATGTACAGTGTATCTCATCGGTGTATTAACAAACACTTTGATCCAAAATGAGAAAATGTGCAAATAACCTGATAAATGGAGAAGACTCACCCAAATACGCCAAGCACTCGCTATCGCATTCAAATGACATCTTCAAACAACTCCTTACGGTTCAACAGTACGACCTTAAGACTCTAGACGGTCACTGCGATCTTCTCGTCTGCAGTCTGATACTAGATAATGGGCAATGTCCCATCTTAGTGATTCGGCTGAGAGATTTATTAGTTTTAAATATTTCGGCTTCCTGCCGAGCGCAATAATTAATGTACCAGCTCTCGGCTGAGGTTTCTACGTGGAATCCTGGGGTAGAACTTCCTCAATGATCCACTGAGACACGGCCACACATCTGTTTCCTTCATACTTTATCCTCCAAAGATTCCAATTCCCTAACAACATTACCTATTGTTTTGACGTCCTAATTGCTCAGTCAGTATTGGTGTGTTTTAGTGCATATCCGCATGTGACAGCTTTTCCCCCCTCCCCTGAGGACGACCGAGAACTAAGACCTGTCGTAGTCTCGGTCGGAAAATGTGGAGTCATGTCGCGGCAAACACCACCAATATGAGAGAGCAAATACGACCACTAAAATAAACAAACACTCATGTCTCAATATAATGTATATACATTACTAATTAAGTGCAATAGATATTCATGAATACGATAAGCAGTATTATCCCACAATTAATGTTATCAACATTATTAATACAACACATAATTAATGATCAGCATCATTTAAATACAACACACAAATCATCAATCCTTTTCTGGTGCAATTGGCGTGCTTGACAGAAAAATCTGCGAGGACATTTTCTTTTCCTGGGCGATAAATAACCATGAAGTTAAACATAGATACATCGTCCATCTTAGGATGTGTGCCTTCATAATGGGTCCTGGGAGATTGGGTATCTCTGTGGATGCCTAAAAGAACAGCGACAAAAATCTGGCAGATACAATAACAGATTACTATTAAATGCCTTTTTAATCTCTGGATCGCGTCATTGCACTCTCTCGTCCAGATTACCTTCGCTGGTATCCCTAACTCTTTAGCTACCAGATATTTTAACAAGATATATGAAGTTTATAGGTATGAAGTTCTAAGATCACAATACAGCACATAATTAAATACCTATAATCACTTTCTTTTCCTGAAAACTAAATATCTGTTGTATGTTCTGACCAACTATAACACTTAAACCAGATCATGTAATGGTATGAATTCAAATCATGGAATAATCCACATACCAAGTGTTACCTGAACTGGAGAATTCCTAAGGACAGACAACAGCAGGCGACAAAAGTGGTGATATCAAAACACCTCGACCAATAGTGACACAAGTAAATACAATTGTAAACTTAGAAGGGTCAGCCAGTTGCTTACGTGGGTTGTTAGACACAACCTATACACGTGATACATAATTTACTGGAACTATGAGCTCACAATAGAAAACGAAATCGTTTCTCTCTCCAAACATCACAGTATCTGTGGACGTTTAACATAACAGAAAGCAAATGCAATTGAAACCGATGACTAAAAAAGAATAGTATATTAACAGTCCATGATGAAATTCATGCTAAAATACACAGGAATAGAATGACACTGTCAGATCAAGAAAGGAAATATCACCTTGGATAATTTTCCTTTGACGGAATCTAAATCCTTCACTTGTATGTCTTGTCCAAGGAACGCCTCTTTGGCTAGGTTCACCAGACTGTCTGAGACCAGCTGCACAGTCTCCCCTCTCTGTTGTTTCGCCTGCCTCAGAAGGGAGAAGGCGTACTGTGGGTCTGTCATTTCGGCATATTTTCTCGCCAAATCATTTTTGGAATTCAACCACATCTCGTGCTCATTGCTCTCTAGTTTCCTCCGTATGTGGTCTGAGACTGGAGAAGCTGAAGTTTGATAAGCGATCTTAATCTTCTCATCATTGGTAGCACCAACCAAGTAGGCGTATTTCTCAATGGCTCCTATCCACTTCTTAAATTTGTTGGCTTCTCCTGTGAATTTGTTAGTGTCAGCTGTTGTATCCGACAGACTGTAGGAACAACACCATACAGAACATTGTTTGAGAAACAGAAGATCAAATGTTTTGGAATGCAGACAGAGCAACTACCAATGCAGGCGCTAGCCGTGAAAAGATCTGAAGTGAAAGACAGAGAAGATGGATTGAAGACATGACAGAGCTTCTACATCGTCACAGAATGACAATAGCCATTGCTATCAAACAATGGATCACAAACTTTCATCGTCCCTGATGTGCTACAGTACCTCAAAGTGTCTGCAAGGTGAGTGCTACAGCAGCTTACCCCAGAATTCAACGACGCACTGATGCCTGTCGAGAAGGTTTGAAGTGCTTTGAAGCAGATATGGTTTCCTATCAAGAATTTTTACTGTGGTTTGTTTTTCTTTTTCTGGAACCCACGTGGGGGGGGGGGGGTGTAATTCCAAACTATGAAATAAGTAAATTATAATGTGCCTGAGTGCTGGTGAGGAAGATAACATTGTGAGGGAGATAACATTGTGAGGGAGATAACATTGTGAGGGAGATAACATTGTGAGTGCTGGTGAGGGAGATAACATTGTGAGTGCTGGTGAGAGAGATAACATTGTGAGTGCTGGTGAGGGAGATAACATTGTGAGTGCTGCTGAGGGAGATAACATTGTGAGGGAGATAACATTGTGAGTGCTGCTGAGGGAGATAACATTGTGAGGGAGATAACATTGTGCGTGCTGCTGAGGGAGATAACATTGTGAGGGAGATAACATTGTGCGTGCTGCTGAGGGAGATAACATTGTGAGGGAGATAACATTGTGAGTGCTGCTGAGGGAGATAAAATTGTGAGTGCTGGTGAGGGAGATAACATTGTGAGTGCTGGTGAGGGAGATAACATTGTGAGTGCTGGTGAGGGAGATAACATTGTGAGTGCTGGTGAGGGAGATAACATTGTGAGTGCTGGTGAGGGAGATAACATTGTGAGTGCTGGTGAGGGAGATAACATTGTGAGTGCTGGTGAGGGAGATAACATTGTGGGTGCTGGTGAGGAAGATAACATTGTGAGTGCTGGTGAGGGAGATAACATTGTGGGTGCTGGTGAGGGAGATAACATTGTGAGTGCTGGTGAGGGAGATAACATTGTGAGTGCTGCTGAGGGAGATAACATTGTGAGTGCTGGTGAGGAAGATAACATTGTGAGTGCTGGTGAGGGAGATAACATTGTGGGTGCTGGTGAGGGAGATAACATTGTGAGTGCTGGTGAGGGAGATAACATTGTGAGTGCTGCTGAGGGAGATAACATTGTGAGTGCTGCTGAGGGAGATAACATTGTGAGTGCTGGGGAGGGGGATAACATTGTGAGTGCTGGAGAGGGAGATAACATTGTGAGTGCTGGGGAGGGAGAGAACATTGTGAGTGCTGCTGAGGGAGATAACATTGTTATTGTTGCTTTTTTTTTTTTTTCATTAACAGAAATGTAGACAGCAACAGTTGACATCTCCAGCCATGATGACATCAAATCCCACCGCCATACATAGGGTAGATTCTCTGGGTGGGACGGTGCCGACCTCGCTAGTTTCAGTCTCGTCCACACTCATCAGCACCTCGCTGCTGGCATCCTCGCAGTTGCTGCCACAAGTAATCTCCACACACTCGCAGTTGCGAGTAATCTCCCCTGTTATCTTTATTCCCGGTCAAAAAGCCACGACAATACCACCACCGCCTCCTCTGGCTTCACGTCCAATGTTTGACACTCTGACTTTGGTGCCAATCAGTTTTACATCCAGTGCTCCGCCACCACCTAGATTACAGTTTTGTAGTAGTCCGCAAGCAGGCCTGTCCCAGCCACAACCTCCTCCTCCTCCACCTCTTCTTTTTTCACATTCCCTATTACTTTCATCTCAGGCAAATTCTACCGTCACTCAGCGGCCACCTCTTCAGTCTCACCTGTCATTGCTACCTTCCAAATCTGTTGTCCTGCAGACTCCTCAAAAATCTGTACCTGCTGAAAATGTCATAGATGTAGATGCCATTTGTACAGATCCCCTGTCCAAAAGTCTGTTGACACCAACAGCTGCAGATGTTCAGAAGCAACAGTCATCT